GAAGCAACACGTAAATCACATGCATCATAAATGCCTTTACATTCCTATACTCCATTTTCTTTTTATTCGGTATTATTTTGCGCCCCATAAGTATGGCGTTATCATCAAAGCACGTGCAAAGCAACATATCATTCGTTTCTTGTCCGTATGTATTTGAAAGCAAAAATACATCTTGTATACTATTAACAGACCTTATAATTGAGTCCGCTGAGTATGAAAGATTATTAGAATAGAGTGTTCTCGTCAGAGACATATAAAGTTCCTCAGTATTGAACATTTTTCTTCATGACCAAATGTACTGCTTCTCGAACTAGTTGTTAAATATGCACTCTAGACATTCCCGGTGTGGGTACAAGTGTGGACGTTACTCTTCCATTTACCCACATTCACATCCATAGTCCTAAACGTAAAAATATTGAACACATAGTTTTATTAAAACATCAGGTTTATTTCAAATCGAAAACAGAAAATGACATGAATAAAGTAAAAAAAGTTATAAAACAGTATTTGATGTTCTTTTTCAAATATTGCTTCCTCATTTAGAACACACAAAAAGAAAAACAATGGGTAAATCGTTTATTCGCTGAAATTATATATACTAAGAAATGAACTCATATTAATTTTTATTTTGTAAAATTTGACTTGTTATTTCTCGAATTATTTCCATCACTTTATTTCGATGTTCACTTCTAGGTGACTGTTGTTTTTGTCCATTACTATCAGTATTAACAAGCCATTTTGGATGAATAAGAATATTAAATTTAAGATAATCATTTTCTTTATTATCTTTACAACAATAACCAAGTCCACTTGAAATTATATACATTCCATAATCATTTGTTAAACGTTGACATATTTTTGTATATAAATAAAATAATTCAATATTATTCATTTTTCCATTTAATTCAAAATTAGTCATTGATAATGTAATTTTTGTTTCATAATTAGGCATACCAAAAATAATTAATGATTCTGGTGATGATCTTCCACCACGTCGAATATTCCAATCACGTTGTTTATGACGACCATTTTTTGTTACAAATAAATCTCCTGCATATATTCCATTTTTATAACCAAATTCAGATGCTTCAACAGCAACCATAAGTGAATACGTTTGAAACATACGTTGCCAATATATTGGAGAATCATTCAGATCAGTAGATGAATATGAAGTCCACTAAAAAAAAAAAATTTCTTTACAAAATATTATATGTTGTTAAATCTCATTTACTTTATATTCAATTCTTTTTAGAAGAGAATTATCTTTGATTTAATTTTATGTATGTACCTTCATAGTGTGCTATAGTCATGCATATTTCTATCTATAGTACAAATCATATTATTATCTTTCCTAGTAGATCAATTATAGAAAATAGCAAGTTTAGTAATCTATTTGATTTGTTAGTAGAAAGTCAATATTTGTTTTGATTTGATAGAATCTATTTATTGAACATAAATATATTGATTCGATAAAACAATAATTTTCTTTATCATTGAACCAATTTGTGATTCCATTTTCTAAGTTAATTTGCACATCTGAATCAGTGCCCGATCTGAAATTCCTTTGATTAATCCTCAGAAATGTATACATTTTCATTAAAATGAAGTGTCTAACAGGATAACATAGTACTTAAACTTTTCACATAATTAAAAACTCGAAAAATTGGCAACATTTATGAAAAAACATTAATTAGTTAAAAGTACATTAGAGGAGCATCAATTAGTAGTGTTATTGAGCATTTTGCTTTTCACGTTGGCACTTATTGCAGAAAAGTAATAACTATCTCCAAAGATCATAGCACTTCTAATAAAATTAAAACAGACTGCTCAGCACTATGTCGTCTTAATGGATGCTACATCATTTTGTTGAGTACTACATTTTATTGCAAATGTATACTGTTAAACACTACAGAGTGTACAGACTTTCTATAGAATTTTAAGATTTTAAGGAAGTTAATGAGAGGAATTTGAGCTCGAGTCGAACATCATGTAACTTTTTTATCCAGCATCTGAATCAGAATGTCCAAAAATAAGTGTCCATCTTCTCGGAATTTCCAATCGATCTCCCAGCAGATAAACTCTGGATAAAACACTGCATCTATATTTTGTTTGTAGGTTTGTATACAAAAAAAAGTTTTTCAATTGATCTATTCATTGTAAGGCTAATTTTTAAAATTAGAAGTGTTTTATACATAGTTTCGTACCATATAGACAATATACATATATAGCACGCTTTTGACATCATTTGAGAGCAAGCAAGATATCTTTACAATTAAAGCATGTAGTTATCCTTTCTTCAATTTGAACGAAACACAAGCGATTTCACAAATAAAAAAGTATTTTATCATGCAATTCTGCAAATAAATTAGAATTTCTTTAATTAATTGCTTTGCTTTATAAACAACTATAGTTCAGCCTATTCATACATTTATAGTGCAATCTTCAATATAAGACAAATATAAAATAATTAATTTAATATTAAAATACACTTATTTCAATAGTATACATTGTTTTCAACTTCGGTCAATCTTTTCATAGTATTATACTTTCATCGATATAGAGATTTCGGTACAGTTTGAAAAAACATCATCAAGAAGTTATAAGTCGATTCATACCCATAGAAACTTGATGTATTGCAAACATTTGAGCAAATCTTGCAATGGAAAATATATTGATCTCAAGACCGTCTATGCTTTTTCAACTATTTTTTTGTACTAATCACATCTGTCATAGTGATAAAAAACATATATATTACGAGAAAGTTTGATTTTTTTTTTGACGGTGGTTGATGAGAACTCAAAGCATTGAATATACTTTCGTTGAATCATGCGTAACTGGTGCGTGTGTGCGTGTTTGATTTATTCATTATTTATATCGATAAGATTTCATCGAATAATACAGTTCAATTCTCTCGGTTCATAACATATGCATGTGTGCATTTAGGAAACAAGCAGAGAAAATGAGACATGAAAAGGTAGATAATATAAAAGGATGTATATGTCATTAAAATGAACTATAGTCCACTCTATGTACAGCCATTCTTAACCTTTGATGTATATGATCCTCTCTTCTTCAATAAGATTATAAAACAATTTATCATAATTCTAAGTTTGGGAACCTGAAGTTATTTCAGTTTTTTATTCAGCGTGTGAGCTGAGGTGGCAGAATTCTTCTGAAGATTGTATTGGCCCTCCCGTAGATTATTGTTATCGTATAATTTACTATGTGTCGATGCTTTCGAAAATAGGTATTCACTCTGTTTCAGAATTTTCAACCACTGTTTCGAAAGATAAAATCTGAATAAAAAAATACTGAGTTATTCATACTTGTTCAACATAACATCCATTTTCTGTTCCACATAGATTAATTGATGTTGGAAAAAGTTTTCCATCAAGAACAAATCCACAAACTGTATAATCAGCATAAATATCACCAGATCGTTTTTGTGGTTCAATAAATTCTTCAATAACAGCTAATCTTGGTAATTGTTCACCAACTATTTTATCTTCCATATATTCACGTAAATAATTAATTCGTTTTTCTTGTTCTTCTTCACAATCATAAATAATCGAATGTTCACTTGGAACCATACATGACCAACCAGCTGCACCACTTGCATCTAATTTAACAAATGCTGATAAATTATATTTATGATACAATTGATCAATAGCTTCAATGATAGTTCGAGCAAAAACCTAGAGAGATCAAAAAAAAACATACAGTTTGTCTGTTCTTGTTTGTTTTATCATATCGAGAAAGACATCAGTGAATATTTACTTCAATATTTTCTGCTCTATTTTCTGTATGAATTGGATCAAGATATTCTAATGTTTTGATATATTGTTGATAATGACCAATTATTGTTCCATCTGGTGATGCAGCTAATAATTTTGGTAAAGCAGTAAATGCTTGTGATCGTAAAAAAAAATTATGTTTTGCTTTATCATTTGTTGGTATATCAGGTAATTTTAATCGATCACCATAAGATTGAAGTTCTTGTTGATGAAATTCAGTCATTTCATAAGGAAAAACAAATGATCGATGAACACCTTCAGTAATTTTATCTATATGTTGTTTAAGTATATCAATATAATATTCAGGATAAAAATCATTTGATGAACGTTGTGCAAATGTTTCACAAATTTTCATATATTGTTTTGAGTTTTTTTCAAAAATATCAATAAGTTCAAGTAATTGATGATTTGAATCTTCATAGAAAATTTTAATTTGAATTGAACGTTCAAGACGTTCTTGAATTAATTGTTTTAATTTTAGAAAACTTTCTAATTCAACTGAATTTGGTGGTGAATAAACAATAATTCGACCACCAGAACGAAATCCAGTTGATAACCAAAGTGCAGGTAAAAGTGATCGATCATAACCACGTATTCCATGAAAACTAGTTCGTTCAGATTCTGGTAGAACTATAGCAACATCATCGAGAATAATTATTTGATCACTATCATCGAATATCAATGAAATTCGACGTGCTAATTCCACACGATAATTTAAATCAGCTGGATGCTGAACACCCCAAGCAGCTAATGCATCTGGACAAAGATTAGACATATTAATTTCACGTGATGATGGTTGACTATTGTATTGCTGTATGCTTTTAGTAGAGTTACGTGCTGAATTAATTAATGAATTGAGCATGATGATTTCTATAAATAATAAAAAAATAAAAGGCTGTTAGCATAATCCTTGCGGAATTAAAATGTAATACACGATGTAGCTATTGCTGCTAATCACATAAAAATTGTTTTATTCTATCTATTTTGGGACACATTTCTTCATTACCCTTTTACTTAATCCTTCAGAAATGGAATAAGGAAGTAGTTTATATATTATGACGAGACATTATTGATATAGTCTATCATGGTCTGCAAAGGGAGGGAAATATGTGCAAATTTCTATCCCATATATACCCATGAGTAGAAGTCTTTCCCTCATCTCTTTCATTCTTTTCGTATTGAACCCTTTTAATCTCAAGTGAATAGTAGATACAAAAAAAAAAGAGATTACCCAGTCGTGAAATATCCTGTCAAACAACTGATTTTCAGTGTTGCTCAAATGTATGGAAATATGTATATTCTTCATTGAAGCAAATTGTCATCTATCATATATTACATTACAATAAAGTACTTTAGTCATTCTTATAACTAACCCTCACTTGAAACCAAAGGGGTTCTATAAGAAAAGAATGATGGGGCGAAGAAATGTGGAGGACTTTTACTCGGGAGTGTATTTCAATACTCCTTTTAGGTAGTGTTTCACAATAAATATATGAAAACATATGAGCATTAAAGGTTAACTGAGGACATTTAACAGATTTTTTCAAATATTATATGTACAGAGAAACGTCTGAATATATCAGTAATTACAATCGATAGCACTACTATATAGTTTCTATACTCGTCTGTATTACCAGTGTATATTTTACTAAATGCTGTGCGATGATAACCTATCACAAAACGATGTTATCTAATAGATGCCATGTTTATTTCTTTAATACGAATGCTGCTATTAACATGACCTATCTTTCGTACTTATTCACCCATCTCTATTCAATCCTTCTTTTATAGTTATTCTTGTTACATTTTTTCTGCATTGATAGTGAAGTAGCAACTAGAATAACAATCTTTTGTTTTTTTTTTACTTACTTCGTTTTATCGTTGCGTTGGTCACTTTTCATGAATAGGTCATAAGGTTCTTTTGTTCTGAACTGTAAGATAGTCTTTCTCTCTTTTCTCTGCTCTACTTTTATATGGAAGAAGAAAAGAAATGTATGTGTTCTGTCACAATTACGAAGAACACTTGCATATTTGGACATTATAAGTAACAGAAGAAAAAGAACAAATGAGCGAATTGGTGACAGTAGAGAAGAAGATATCTTAGTTTTCACAGATAGATGAAATAATTTACACGACTTCTGAGTAAAATAAATTCTCATGAAATGTTAAACAATCGTTTTATTATGAGGAGAGATAAAGTGAAAAAAAAATGCTATAACTAGTATATAATTGACACTACGAAAACATATATCAAATATCTTCATTTAACTGGTATTGTTTATATGATGAATTCTTTTGCCTATGTATATAAGTTTATATATTTCATAAATTAAGAAATAATACTGCCGTATCTTCAAAGATGACATGAACAAATAGTTACACGCATTTATACAAAAAATTAGAGTTATTTTAACATTTTCAGAATATCAAAATGTTTTTATAAGTAAAAAAGCATAGACTTGAATAATAGAAAGAACAAAGCAAAAAAAAAGAATCTTAAATAAAAAATATTTTCCATCTGAAACCACGCAGTAAAATTTTTGTATCTTACAATAATGACAAGTTATAATGTTATTACATCAATTTGATTATATAATGAACGAATAGCAGCGGGTAACTTAATAGTCGATATATGAATGTAACATTTGCTCCAGCTGACATGCATTTTTATTAGTTTTTTCTATTCGCTTTCTTCACTACTGAATAGTAGTCCGTCACAGTAGACATTTATTCAGAAATTTTATGAGGGAAGTTTTTCAGCTAATAAGTCGCTTTTGAGTTGAGACTATATTCATTATGTAGACCTAAATGAACTATGAATACCTGGAAATGAGTATCGGTCCTTACCTTATCATTGTGAAGATACTGTTCTTTTAAGTGAATGCCATGGTAACAAAAAAAAAATGATTTTTGAATTTCATCTTGAAAATTTTGCATAGAATTAGGCCTTAACGAGAATAGGTCTTTTTATGAATATTTCAGATCTTGGTGTTGTTCGTATTCTAAGATATCATTATGATAGTAGCATGTCTTTTACGTTGCTCATATAAACCGCTAGACTTGATGTTCGTATTTCAATATATAGAAACAAATCAAAAGACTTTAAACTTTTACAATAAACGACTCTCGTTAAGTGTTGTCTCTAGGTAATGTTTCAAATCAAAATTCGAAAATCAACTTTCCTCTTATTACGTCATTCTTTTAAAAGAACAGAATCTATGCTGCAATAAGCTAAAAGTACGAACTCTTTTCAGAGTATTCATAACTCATTTGAATCTACATAATGCACAGTTTCGACTCAAAAGCAATTGATCAGTTAAAGAATTTTCTTTGTTAGTCAAATACGTAAATAAATATAACTGTATTCTTAACATTTTGACAACACATAACAGAGATCGAACAAGTATCCAAAAGTTCGATATATTTAAACTAGTACTATATTTATCTTTAATTTTGTTCACAGATTATTCTTCTATATAAATGAATATATTTAGAGAAATTCCATATTGATCGAAAAAGTTGAATACATGTCTATCGATTTTTTTCTATTTAATATTTAGAAATATAAATAACATAATATGAAATAATTACTAATGGAAAATATACATCAACAATGATTTTCAGAAAGTTTTTTTTTTTATTTTTTATTTCTATCATTCAAAACAAAAAGTAACATAGTTTAATTTATTGCTGCTGTAAGCAATTTTTCTCTTAAACATGAAAGACTTATAAGAACAGCTTCTTCGGTACGAATTGTTCGACTTCCTTGTTGTGGACATGTATTTATATAAAAATGAAATAATTGTTCAGCTGTAATACAACCATCTTGCTCAACAGCTTTTTCAAGTCCTTGTAAACCACCAAATACAATTAATGCATGTCGAAAACGAGGAAATTCAATAATTTTATCATGCAATATACCACGTTCAGATGTTCCAATAACAAGATCATATTTTGCTTCATGATTATTATCATCAAATGGACAATTTTCAATAATTGTTCGAATTGAATTAGCTTTTCGTACTTGATATCCCCAATATAAACCTGAAAGAAGAAATCAAATAAATTTTTCGAGAATATCAAAATGATCTTACCAGATTCTAAACGAGGAGTACTTGGACTAACAATTTCACCTGTAATTCTTTTTCTCTTGTTTATTTGTTGACTTTCATCTAAAAAAGAAAATTAAAGAATTCTTGTCTTTTGTTTTTGTCAGTTGCAAAAAAAAAAGATTTTACTTTGTGATTCTTTAGTTCGAAAATATTCTTCTTGTGTTATATCTGTTCGTTGTATAGTAACACGAAGACCTTGTTGTAAACGTTTATCAATTTGTATTTTTGTTTCATAAAGACCAACATCAACCCATGAACCTTTTCCTTCAGCAGGTTTTAATGGTAATGTAACACCTTCACGATAAAACCAATATTCATTTGCACGTAAATGATGTGGTGCATCCAATGGATTAAGTAAACCAGCATATTCAAGTAATTTTTGTCGAGAAAAAAATTGTTTACGAAGATATTGTGGACTAAAATAAACGAATAATGTGAATATTTTAAAATTTTTAATTACATTCAATTAATCTACTACCATTCGAGATATTCAAGAAGTCGAATAAATTGTTCACTTGCTGTGAATGGATTATTATCAATTTCTTCATTTGTTTCATCATCATCAAAAAGAATTATTTCATCTATATTAAAAATACATGCTGCTCGACCAATTTGTCCAGCTAAATAAGTTCGTAATTCTTTTGATTGAGCATTACGTAATATAGAAGCAGGTAAAGCTATTGATAATGTATATGAACGACCTTTAATAGATTGTGATGTTAAATTTGATGATACAGTAGTTTGTTGTTCTATTTCTTTAGCTTGTTCAGCGTCAAGTTGTTTTTTTAATCGAGCATTTTTCCATGCACGAAGTTGTTCTTTATATCGACGCCAATCTGTTGGATTTGTTGATGCTTTTAATGGACGTATTGGTCGAAAAATATTAGTATCATTCGACATATTTGAATTTCGATGTGAGAAAAGAAGGTATTTCTTACCATTATCCTTATTGATTGAAACAAAGAAACCAATCATTTTATACATGTACGATCGATTCAGTCGGTGGGGTAGACATCGTCTGGAAAGTTGCGCCATCTTAGGTTCTGATACGTTTAGTGACTGCAACAAACAAGCATATGAACAGAATATTAATTATCATTAATAAATTTCTTGTATTTGATGAGTAAGATGTGGAATCGATGCAACTCGATAAGTTCTACTTTCAACTATCATTAATTTTTGTTGCATGAGATCAATGGCAATGGCAAATTTCAGGAGCGGCGCAAACAGAGAAGGTTGGAGGACGGGACTATTTCATCAATAAAATAGCAATTGAAATTATCAAAAATAGGAAAATAATGCAATCCAATATTTAGTGAATTCTATAAAGTGCAGTTAATTAAAAGTAAAATTGGAGATATACATTTTGTTAAGATTGTTATCAGTAAGTTTTTAAAAATTTAAAAAAGAAACATAAATTTGAAATTTTTGGCTAATTTTTTTAAAAATGATTTATGTCACAAAATAAACTTTCTTAAACTTGGTATAAGTAAATTTTTACGAAATTAAACAATGAAAATTTGAGTTCTGAAGCTTTTTTCTGTTTGCATAATTTAAATTTTAAAACATTTGAAATTTAATTGAACGGTTTTTGAATTTCGATTTTATTGTAGTAAATGAGAAGGCACGACTTGTAACTTGTCTGTTATTGGAGACGAAGAAATTGTTGGTCCGTTTTTTCTCTATGAAAACGAAATGTCACTCTCGATGTGTTATGCGTCCGTATGTGAAAATATTAGTGTTCATTTTCTCATTTTAACCATACGAAACGCAAAGCAAAGCAAAAACAAGTGATAGATTACGTTGAAAGAACAGGACATGTACAATCAAGTGCGCACCTCTACTAAAGAAATTATCTATCTGATGAAAGTATCACGCTTTATTTATGCACGTAAACTTTTGTAAGTTGGAAAGAATCAGGTAATTTCGTCAACGATAAATACGCAAAAAAGCGATTTGTGAATATGAATAAAACAAAGTTAATATATTTCAGTATCATTCATTACGTGAATATACTTAATTTTCAACGTATTTAAGCTATACTTAAAAAAAAAACAGTAGTTTCAATTTGACTCAAATATGCCGTCGAACAAGAAACCGTAAGTTATTATCGATTTGAGTAAGATATTAAATTGGAACGATTCTGTTGAAATAATACGAATGAAAACTGAATTCGAATTAAATGGCTAGTGTTTCGTCTTTTTACTGACAGAACTCATTCCAGACTCAAACTTGATCAAAGAGATATCAAATTTTTTTGAGTCTGACAATAGAAAGAATAAATATTCATAGTGCATGAAAATATATGGTTATTCTAAAGTAAATCACAAATAAGGAATCAAATTATTGACAGGAAGTTATTTTGGTGAATTTGTAAATAAAGAGTTGGTTCCAACGACACTTGTTGAACCTTTGAACTATCTTTCTCAAGTACTAGATGTCGTAACAAAACATTTAATCGAAATTCTTGACCAGTATTCAGTATTTCAATAGCAACCATCTTTCTCCTCGTTTATTGAACGTGCTGATCTGCCATTATAAGATGAGCATTTTGGTATGCTCGACACTGTGTCTTATTTCAACGATAAAAGTGGTTCCCAGCCGCCATATATTGGAAACTCAACGGATCAAGCTGAAACTTAAACGAATGACATAAAACTATGCACTATATAATTGTTAAAAATTCCAGTTGAATCAGATATACTTTTTAAATAGGTCAAATCAACCAGAAAATGTTGGTACAACGGAATTTGGATGATTAGAATTTTGCCATCTGAATTTTGCCAATGTCTAAATGCCACTAGAATTTCGAAAAATATCGAAATTACATTGGAATTCGGACAATATTGTCGATTATCCACGATGATCGAATATCTTTAGGAATTACGACCAAAGCAATTCTTGCCGAATATTTTATTGTCAAAATTTCATTTGAATGTAGATAATATAAACAATAGTCAGAACTATTGCATTTGACTGGAAAACAGGCCTGCTCATTCGTAGGTAAATGTAAAGCTAAGAACTAGAGCGAGTCTTCTTACTACTGCTCTAAACTAGTGTGTATTACAGCATCGATTAATTTCATTCTCAGAAAAGAATACAACAAGTATCGTGGGTATGGGTCGAGCGAAGAATGTCATCCAAATCTTAACCCACACCCACACCCTTATTATACTATTGAATATTTCGATCAATTGTTCAATAGCATATACATGAAGACGTGATGTTATCACTTTAAGAGTTAGAGAGTGATTCTGAATATAAGACTATGATAAATTAAAATTACATTATTCGAATGATGTGATGCGTGTGGTTCTGAGAGAATAGAATATCTACATCGATGTCCAGATCTTACACTCACGCCAAAATGAGAACAGTTGCTAACTTTCTCCATAATTTTATTTTCAATTTTTTGTTATGAAAGAAAATTATAAAAAGAAATTTTATTTGGAAAAAAAAAGATCATTAGTATGTGCAATATTTATCGTCATAAGTCTCCAGTTAATTAGTAGTAGACACTTCACTTGTACTAAGAGATGGAATAAATCCACCATGTTGTTCTAAAATCGATACAAAACAAAAATTTGAGAAAAAAAGCCATATATTGTTTTTCATTCTCACTTTCATTAGTAGTAGATGAGATATTTGAAATTAATGATCGTCTAATCGGTGGTAAAGGTGGACTTATTCGTTTTAAATCACCAGCACTGGAATTGAATGGTGTACGAGGATTTGTTTCATGACTTTTTGCTAATTTATTATTGTAAGATATCAAAACAAAAAAAAAGAAGAAAAATATCAAAAAATACCTGATATAGTATAACGATCTTCTCGTGAAATACGAGTGACAGCTTCACTTGGTTTTCTCATACGAGCATTACCTACACCAGGTCTTGATACAGCAACATAAGAACGTAGATTCAATGATGGTACACATGGATCAATTCCACTATTAGTAAAAGCAGATAAAAGAGGTGTACTAACATGAGACATTGGCATTAATGCTCGTTGTATATCAAATTCTTGTAAACGAGATAATTCATTTAATTTAATAGGCTTTTGTTCAGTATCAATAGTACTATCAGTTGAATCATTGTGTTGATCAATTGGTGCTGTTTGTGGTAGAACAAAACTTTTTTCGAACTATCATTATTAAGAAATTTAAAAAAAATAGCAATAAATTTCATTATCTTTATTCTCTTACATAAAAATGTGGCTCTTCATCATCTGATGAACTAATTGATGATATTTGTGTCGGTATTTGTTGCTTTCTAATCTTTTGACTATTTGCAGATTGTGATTTTAATGATTGTCGACTAGGATGATGTTGTTTCTTTATTACGTTTTCCTTTAATAATACTTCTCGTCGGAGTTTTTCGTATTTCATATAAGATTGAGCAGCAATTCTTAATGAGAGACATTCCATATTAGTTTGACGAATCTTACCACTTGTTTTTTACGTGTGAATGAAAAAAAGAACAATGTCAAACAGAAAGAAAAGGAGAAATATTGTTTTTTCTTCGAACTCGACAATTACCTCCCACGAAATCGGTTAATCCATTATTCAAGAGTTTGTCAAGTTTTGATAATAAAAGCATTCTACTTACTCAAACTATTAGCTTTTTTTTTTGAAATGCTCCATTAAATACGTATCATCGAACGAGACAGATGTTAACGCAAAAATCAAGCTAATGCGATATATCCTGACGTTTGTCTGTGATTTCAACAAGGAAGGGACAAAAACTGCTCATTGAGCAACCGAAAATTCTCCGTAGATCCTCATTCTATAGATTAAATTTTTTTTTTAAAGAGTATGTCAAACTGCAGTGTCAGATAGAGTCCTTTTTCTTTTAATTCATAATTTTTATGTGAAGGAAAAGGATGGCAAGTCTAATGCATCGAAAAATGATCACCTATTTATAAAAGTGCTTTTTTTTTAAAAAGAATAATAAAAAAAGCTTAATTCTAAAAACGCTGCAGCTTCATATGCTCTTTTAAATAAAACAAAAAGCTGTTGCCTAGAATGAAGCTTCTTCGAGAATTTTGATATGTACAATCAAAAAAGCATATGTTACGGAAATTTTTTTTTTCCGAAGGCAAAAGACTTTGACAAAATCCAAAATATACACCTGTCTTTCATCTTATTTGGAGCATACTTTGATTTTTTTTTTGTTTTTTAATCTATTAGCATTGAAAAAAATTATCTTAGTACATAATTTCGAATGTATTAATAATGTATTTTAGAAATATATTTACCGTCCTCGATATGAATAAACTGGACGTATTAAAAATATACTAGATTCATCTTCCAAATAATCAAATTTTTCTGTTAATGTTCTTGCTAAATTAGCACGTTGTTGACGAATATCTGATATATATTTACTTATTTGATTTGAACGCTAAATTCATAACAAAAACAAAAATAAAGATATTGTTTAAAAAAATAATAATCTTAATTCAACAAACTCGTTCATATAATAACTCCATTTTTTCTAAGACATTTTTTGTTTCATTATCATAAAGATGATTTTCAATACGATCTAAAAATTAAAGAATTTGAAATAGAAACATTAACTTTTTTTTTTTTGTTTACGTTCAATTTCAGCTGCTCTTCGATATTGAATGTATCGGTTAACAAGATTACTTAATTGTTGAGATGGTAAATTAATATAATCTGTCATTGCTTCGTTTAATTCCTAGAAGAAAATAAAATCTTTATTTTTATTTGAAATTTAATTTTTATTGTAAACTTACATTACATGTTGTTTCATGTACTTTTCCTTTATAAACTGCTTGTTGAAGTGTTTGTTCATTTCGTTCAGCATCAAGACGAGTAAACATAATACTTGGTTCAATAATTCCTTCTGTTTCAATTTTTTCTAGACGTTTTTGAAGATGAATTAATTCTTGTCGAAGATTTTTAATTAATTTTTGTTGATCATAAATTAGAGTTTGATTTTGACTAAAAGTATATACGAATAAAAATTTTCAATTGAAGAATATTTCTTTTTACTTTAATTTTTCTTCATATGTTTTATTTGTTTGATTGAAAACTTTTGTTATATGTTCATATTTAGTTGTTAAGTCAATAATAGTCAAATCTTTTTCTTGAAAAGTTGATGTTTGTTGATTATCAACTAAAGAAGCTTCTTTAATTGGTTCCAATTCATGTTTAATTTCTTTTTCTTTTATTTGATATTCTTTAATTGTAGATAATAATGTTGTTATACATGTTTGTAAAATTTTAACTGTATCTTTTAATACGCATTCAGAATTTTTAATGAAATCATTTGTTATATTATTATTATTATTATTATTATTATCATCATTATCAGATGATAATTGCTGAATCATTTTAAGACGATCAGCAAGTGATGTAAATTTATTTTGGTCAAGTAAGTTTATTATTGCATGACGAAATTTATATATTATATCATATAAATGAAAGAAAGGAAGTTTAAATTGATCTGTTGGAATCATTTGTGTAGTCATTCTGAAATAAAAGATATGAATTTAACGTACAGATAATGAATAAACACATACTTTTCTATATGTGTTGACGAACGTCGTGAATCGTCGATTGATGATGATTGTTGTTGATCTTGTTTGATCACTAGTTTAATATTTAAAATAATAATTGATTTTTCTTTTCTAGCTTTTGTAAATTTACCTGACTGATTTTCTTCATTGTCATTGTTATCTAAAGAAGAAAATGAAGGTTAACTGGCTTGATAAAAACTTTAAAAGTAATAAAAGATTAAGAGGGAATAAAACCAATGTCTCGTCAGTTTTTTAATGTTTAAACTATCTAAGAATTATTTTCTTTATTTACCAATACGATTTTCTAATGATTGTAATGGTATTTTTTCTTCTCTGGATGTTGTAGGAATATCAACTTGTTGTTCAATTTGATCCATTTCAGTTTGTTTTTCTTCGATTAATGATGTTTGTGGAAGATTTTCAATGGACTCAGTCTCTTCATTAACATCCTAAAGTTTAATTTTACAATAGAGTTATTGAAAATAAAAGAAACACAAAATAGTTAAACGTTTTCTTTTCTTATTAGAATATTAGTATAAAAAAAAAGAAGATTAAGTATGATTACCGTTGAATGAGATGATAAGCGATCATTTGATAGTTCTTCTATAGGATTAGTATGTTCCGGTAATGAAATGATGTTTTCAAAAGTATCTCGTGGTTCCTAAAAAGAATCAGAGTTTAGTTGAATATATAACAATAGGTTAAATGGTTTACTAAACATCCTGTCTCAATTTTTATGATAAATATTTCTGTACCAATAAATCTATTCGTAATACTGCTGCGTTAGAGAAAATATATAGTTAGATGTATTCTTCAAAATATCAATAAACTAACCCTCGTAACTTATTTTATTAGAAAGTTATAACACATTCTGACAAAAAGGTTTAGCCTGTTGTAGGCTATTTCAAAGGCTTCTTTGAAACTTAAAAGGTTGAAATACGTTTTTCAATGGGTAGTTTCAGATTTTAGAATAGATAAATCTTATATAATAGATATCAAAGATGATAGCTAGTGATTTATTAATTTGCTACAATCGTCATGTGATCAATACAAAAAGCAGAAACTCATTCAATTCTAACTTTCGGGTATATTCCATATCCGTGTTTCCAAGTTTATCGAGATACATAATAGCGCGTTGAAATTTACTGTAGATATAATGATTGTGTACAAAAGGATCTATGGTTAGAATGATAACAATAATACTAAATTAAGAAGAATAGAAATTTGAAAAAATGAAAATGAATTATAAGCCGATAGCAACAAGGTAACTATAATGTAAAGTTCCAGTAAAAAACAACAATGTCAGTTTGCAATGCAGAAGTAAGACAGATCGTTTTTCTGACGATCGATTATCTTTGGAAAGTCATTATTGTCTATTAAGAATTTCTATGAAACACGACCTAAAAGAAGTATCGAAGTATATAGGGTAGAAATTTGCACTTCCTCCCCCTCAGATCATAACAGTTCGTGATAGACGTTGATTTACAATCAACGAGCGTATATCAATAACCTCTCATCTTTATATATGAACTACTTCCTTATTGCATATCTGGAGGATTAAGTAAAACGATGGTGAAAAAAACTGTTCCAAAATAGATAGAATAAAATAATATCCCGATAATCAACAACAACATCTACATTGTGTTTTTTTTGTATTTTAACCTCGCAGAGATTACGCTAACCGCTTTTTATTTGACGTATTTTTGTATAGTAAAATGAATATAAAGAAGACATGTGAGTTCCACATTTTCCACTTTTCAGCAGAATCTCTTGCTGAGAGTTAAAATAATTTTTAACAAAATAAAATTTTTCTTACTGTTTGTGTCTCTTGATTAACTGAATTATTTTTCTATAAATAAATAAATCAATCAATTTTTTTTACGAAAAAAAAGGTAAAAGTTAATTTTAATTCAAATACCGATTTTCCTTGTTCATTGATGAATAATTGTGATTGATTCAATGTTTCTTCTGATGTTTTTTGTCCTTCTATTTGTAATTGATAAGCATTATCCGCTTTTTTTATCAATGTATTATGTTCCTAGAATTAATTATCGAAAAAAAAAAAATATCAATCTAAACAAACAAAATCATTTTCTTACTTTTTCACAATTTATTTTATATTCGTCAAATTCTTGTTGTAAATTTTGTAGTCTCTCGTTATTTATCGATTCTTTTATTTCAAGTACTTTCAATAATTCTTTTATACGAATAGTAGCCTATAGATATATAGGATTAATTGATTTTTATCATTCATACACATAAACACATACGAATTGTTGTAGATTGGCAAATGCTGTTGGTAAATTTTCATTTGTTACATTATTTAAATCAATCCCATCGTTTACATTAAATAATACATTGAGATCTGATAGATTTTCAATATTATTAGAAAGTATCTGTTCATTATGATCAATGATTTCATTTGAATGGTCAGATGTTTGTATTTCATCCTAAATCGAAGAATTTATTGTAATTGATGATTTCTAATCTTATGATTTTTTGCTATTGCGAGAATCTGTGTAGTAGAGAGAATAAAAAAATCTTACAGAAACCGTTGTTAATTGAACTTTTTCTTTATCTGTTTGATTTGAAGATTTATCGTCTTTTCCTTCAACTTTTTGCACTATAAAAATAAATATATCAAACAAAAAAATAAAATAAAATAAAATAAATATAATGTTACATACAGTTTGCCTTTCTTGTATCAGCGGTATTCTTAATTATAAAAAAAAAACGTCATCTTATTTATATTTAATTAAATATTAATTAGATCTGAAATATTCTGTACAAATTTGAAATTCCAAAAGTAGTGACGTCGACATCATTAGACTTTATAAAATACTCTCGAAAAACTTTCTCTCTATATACACTCTCGAAATTCTTTATCAGTCTACATATTTGTGTTTCGAATTGCAAATATTCAATGAGTAATGTTTTAACTATAATATAAACACTCTCATCCCCAGATTCTTACAAGCTAAACTTTTCTTTTGTTTGTTCACATGTTTTCTTTTCGAACTTTCAACAAACATCTAAATAAGTTTTCAAAAAAGCAATTACATATTCGGATACCCCTTGAAATGTTCTATCCCTCTGAATATCTAACAGATGCGGCATAAATAATAGCATCATTCATAGTTTATGTTTATCTTATCCATACTTGTAGATAGAAAACTACGCTTGTTTCAAATGATCCATTGTTCAACTGTCTATAAAATAGTAGAGAATAGAATAGAGAATATTTTGAGGTTAAGCACAGCTTTCTATCTATAAACGTGACCAAAATAAATAGAAAATATGCATGGCGTACCTGTTAGATCTTGACTTTCAGTTATTTACTGAGACGTATTTTGAACATTGTCAATACGTCCTTAGCTTTACTTCAATATGATTATTCACTAGAGCCTGTCGGGTTGGCCTCCGAATCCGAATCCGAGTTTAAAAATTTTGGATTCGACGAGCTCTATTATTCATACATACATTACTATTAGAGAAATGCCGAATAAAACTCCAACAATTTTTTGAAGATTAAAATGGAACACGTGATAACATCAGTTGGAGAGAATACAAAATTCATGAAGAAAGTGGTGACGTCATGTGTGAGTAATTCTAATCGAAGTGAAGATATGGATACATTGACAATGTTCGAAATATTTTCTTAGTAAATGAATGAAATTCAAGACGTAAATATGTAAAACCTATCAGAATATCTAATTACTTTTGTAAAAGCTTATTTTCATATTTATAAAAATTTTATACAAAAAACATACGAATGCACAAAAAAATATTTAAGGATAAGTGTCTTCAAACTATATAGTTCCAATTCAAAACATAAATATGTAGGATGATAGAAAATTTCGAGAGTGTATATAGAGAGAAATTTTCCTCGAGCTTTTTTTTTTATAGAGTATAATAGGATATAGGTGTTACTACTATGTGCAATATTCAATATCACACAAATCGTTTTATACATTGCAAACTAATAATAGACGATGAGTTAATCTTTTATTAATTACTTCTACTTTATGTGACGATAGAAATCAAAACTTTAGTCTTATTACGAAATTCCTTTTTCTTTGGCAAAAAAAAACAATTTTAAGCGTGATAATTTTCAATCGTTTATAACAAGTTGACAGATTTGTGACCCATGCTGTGACAATGTGGGAAGCGAATAATTAAGAAAAACAGTATAAGTGTTCTATTAACTTTAAATACTTACATTTGCATCAACATGATGAGTAACTGATTTAATATTTGTTGAATTATCTATTTGATTTTGATATTGTTGAATATTATTTTCTAATTCATTAATATCATCTATATAAGATTTAATTTTTATTTCATATTGATTTAATTGATCATGTAATATTTTCTATAGAAAATTTTTTTTTTAAATAAAATTATTTATTCCATTTATTCTTACTTGATTATTTTGATTTGTTTGTATTTCATTTTCTAATAATTGAATTTTATCATCTCGATTTATAATTTCTAAAAGAAAATATTTCAATTAATATTCTTTCATATACAATATCATATATGCCTGTATTTGCTATATCTAATTTTGTTTGAAGATTAGTTAATTGTTCTTTAGTTTCTTTTGGCGTTTGAGCTGATTTCTTTTTTCCTCTAGAGAGAAAAAAAAATTTAAAAATCAATAATAAAGAAAATAAATAATTCGAAGTTTACTTTGCTTGTTGTTTTGCTGCAGCATTTTGAATTAAATGTTCAATAATTTCTTCATTAAGTTCATTTAATCGTGTACCTAATTCTTTAACATGAACATAACAATCTTTAACATCAAATGATTTAAGTGTTTGATCAAATTCATTTTGTGTTTCATTGATTTCATCAGATATATTAAATTCTTTTGAACTAAAACTTTGTTTTTGTTCATTAAAAAACTATAAGACAATAAAAAACAAAAATAAAAGATTATTCTAATTAGATGAAAAGTTTAAATGAATAATTTACTTGGCCAATTTGTTCGAGTAGTTTTGTTTTTTCATTTAATTGTTCGGTTTGTCCAACAATGAAAATCATTACACGTTGTTGATACTAAATATTAAAATTAGATAATAAGAAAACAAAAAAAAAAAAATATATATATATATATGAATATGATAAGAATTACTCGTTTTTTAGCTAAAGTATCATTTAATAAATTTTCTAATTCTTTTATATCAGCAACATGTTCAACATTTGACATGTCATCATGTGTCATTCCATGTTGAATTAAAGATGATTGAACTGAAGATTCATAATTATTTAATGTCTAAAAGATTTTTTTTTCTATTATATTTTCCATACAAAAAAACAAGAAATCATATTACATACATCATCAACACGTTTAAGTACTATATTTAATTCTTCTTTTGTTTGATTAGCAATACGTTGTAGACGATTTCGAGTATTTTTTTCAATAACTTCTCGACCTGGATCTCGATTATTGAAATCACTATCATCATTATCTGAACTATTGTTACGTTTGTGTAGCATTTTTGAACGATAACAATCATATTGAAACATATTAATCTAATTGACAAAAAAAAAGAAAATGAAATTAAAAATCGAATAGATTTCCTAATCAAAATCGAATCTGTTTTTCTTTTTATTATTTTCTTCTCAAATAATTTTTTTTTCTAATGTATTACAGATTCAATAGGTTAAAAGAAGGCTTCTGCTCATAATTTATAATGTATTATAAGTATAGAGAATAATAAAAGAAAGAAAAAAAAGTATATTTTCTTTTGTATTCTTTCAAACATCTGACATGCTTTCTTGATTATATACAAACAGACTACTGTATAATAATAATACATAATTGAAAAAAGAAAGATTGAAATTTAATGAGCATACCATGATTTGCATCTCTATAAATTTTATCAAATGAAGAGAAAACAAAAAAATTCTTCATTAATATAATACTATAAATTTTAATTCTAATCTCTATTCATCATCAAATAAAATGAACACTGAAAAGAAAAAAGATTAATAGTTTCTATAACAAAGAAATAACATCACTTAAGTTAGTCAACTTACTCAGATTTATTTCGTTTTTTTCTTCTTCTTATTCTCTTATTTACCATTCACATACGCTATTTATGTTTTACTTACTTAACAGCTTTTAAAGTTAAAAAAAATGGGTTTAATTTATACATACACATACCTGTGCACGACCGGTTTTTTTTTGTATTCTTTTTCTTCTCACCAACCTACACACAAACATACTTCGATGGTACCATAGAAGCGTTCATTTTTATGCCCCAAGAAACAAAAACTATATATGACTAATGCAAAAAGAAAAAGTTCAAATGAGTTTTAATTAAGCTAGAAATTTAGATTTCATTCTGCTTGAGTAGATAAGAATATTGTTTTTTTTTTGCATTGATATTTCATAGACAAAAAAATTTCAAAATTTTTTCGATGAAGAAAAAAAATCTTTTTTTTTTTTTCTTGTTCGTAACTGAATTTATTGACGAATCTTTATTAAAATATTACTATGGTTGATGATTACTTAAGTGAATCAATATTAAAACATACGTAATAAAATTTAATCGAATGCATAAAAAAAAAATCAGAATGTTTTATGAAACAAAAAAAAAATACTTTTGATCATCGGTTTTTTTCGAGTTGGGATTTTTCACTTTCTCTAATTGGATGCTGTTACACGACATATACAACGACTCATCCATAATCAGCACTGTTTTCTGAGATCAAATAGATCCAAATATGAGGGTATGGGCGTAGAGAAAATACTATTCTCACATCTTCTATTGAGAAAGATAATGCAAAATAAATGCTGAAAAATTTTGGTGATCAAAACTATTTTCACCCATGTTTTATATTTTAAAAGTTGTATGTAGATATAGACAAGATGGTCCTAGTTCCGACAGGACCGGTGTCAAATTGTTTTTTTTTTCGACAGGGACCAGGGTCAACACTTTTCTATTGAGATTGATATGTTTTATTGTCATGTCAAATGTCATATTGTCATGATTCATGTGTTCTAAAATTTTATGCGAAAATTATTTGAGTAATGATCATTTCAGTGTTTGTTGTTATAATTTCGATAGTAAAATTAATCATATTTTTTTCTTCGTAAACAACAGAGTTGTCGCATGCATAAACGTGCAGAATAGATGAAGTATTAGCGAATCTCCGAGAGGGAGAATGTTAAAGGTTATGCGAGTCGCACAAGATATCTTGAGCTTATTGCCAATGCTAGAAAATGATATCGCATTTTTCGTTTACTAAGCGCGAAACCAACACTAAAAAATGATTAATTCTGCTCATTAATGGTTGTATGTCAACTGCTGATATTAACAGTTGCAGTATGTGATTGATGTTTTTCTTCTGTTTGTTGATACATGAAACTTTTTTTTTTAATTTGGTTTTTCTTAAAAGAAAATTCATTATTGAAAACAATAAAAAGTCAAGCTTTGAAGTGATCTGTTTATTTATTATTAAACTTTCTAGTGTATTGATTCGAAAACAATTCATAATAGAAATATAAATTATATTTTTAAAAGAATTGCTATTATTAAAAGAAGCAGCCATTGAAAATTCATCATTGGTTGATGTAATGTTGCTATTGCTACGTTCGGTTTTAATGAAGTTTATGTTCGCATTGTAGTTAAAGTTGTTGTAGTTGTTTCTTGTATAACTGGTGGTATTATATCTGATAATGGTAATAGTCCATATTGCAGCAATAATTGTTGTAGTTGTGCATATTTTTGTATTCCATTACACATCGGTTTGGTACATACACAAGTAAAACTGGCTTCAGTATCTGGTTTTTCCATGGTATTTGATTCAATTATTATACCTGATCGATTGATATTTTCACCTTGTGGAACACATTTTCAATCAATATAGGATCTATCTTTACGAAATAATTGACAAAATCCATTGGGACAATGAATACTTTGGTTTTGATTATTGGAACACGTAAGATTGAAAACATATGATTGATCAGAATGTAAAAGTTCACGTAGTTTTGTTTGAACTTCGTCATATTGCAAATTTTTCACCAGGAAAAAAAAAGGACAAAATTATTATTTAAAAGTATATTGAATTTTATTATGTGTATTCATATCTATTAAACTTACTTGTGTTATAAGTTTTGTTTACATCTTCTTTGCAATCTTTACTATCACTACAGACCGATTGCAGTGAATTGGAAGCTATTTTTTTTTTTTGTTAAACCAAATCATTGTCATATTTATAGCTATTCTATTTCTATTTAATAAAATTATTGTTTGTTCGGGAAGATGAGTGAAAAATACAGAAGCATTATTGTTTTCGAAATAAATCGATAATGTTGTCACACGTATTAAACTTGGTTCATTTTCTCTTCGACAGTCTGGTCTTGTCGTATTTAATACTTCGGAAGAATTAAACCCTAATCCTTGATAACAGTCTAAACATTCAATAGCCAACGTTGCAATTGGCAAGTAGAAAATGAAACCAAACGTGACCAAATAGCAGAACATAATAGAAGGATAAATAACAATAATATACATGCCACTACTTCGAATATATATAATATGATCTTTTGTTTCTTTTTTGAGAAAGTCCGCGTTATCAAATACTTATTTCAAATCTATTATCACTTGCGCATACTTCCATTGAAAGTAAGATTTACATGCATCATGATACACTTAGCATTGAGTGGTGAATGATTAACGTATTGACATCATTGAGAGATTAATAAAATATTTGCCTATGTATTTTAGATATGACTGTTAAACACTATTACTTCATTCATGCTTTTCTTGTAACTGCCCAAGTCGAACAATTTCAATGTATTCAAATAAACAAGAAAACAATTTATAAAGTTCAATAATATCTCGAAGTTCTCGCTGCTTAAGCCCACCAACTGATTCGTCGCTTTTAAGTTGGGACTATATATTTCATGTAGACTCAAACGAACTATGAATACTCTAAAAGAAGTTCAGACTCTTAGCTTATTGCTGCGGAGTCACTGCACTTTTACAGTATTTTTTAAAATGAATACCGTGGTAAAAGAAAAACTGATTTTCGCAATTTCGACTTGAAACTTTGTATAGAAATAGGTATTAATGACAATATTTTCCAGTAGATATTTCAGATATTGTTGTTGTTTCTATCCTAAGATACAGCTATGATAAAAGCGTGTGTTTTACATCGTTCATGTACACCGGCAGATTTTATATATTTATTTCAGGAAAGGAACAAATCAAAAGACCTGAAACGTTCATAAAAAACTATTCTTGTTAACACGTGTCGCTGCGCAATATTTCAAGTCGAAAATCAGTTTTCCCTAAGAGGACCACGGTATTCATTTTAAAAAGTACCGTAAAAATGCATCATCCTTGCAGCAATAAGCTAAGAGTCCGTACTCTTTTCTGAATATTCAAAACTCATGTGGATCTACACGATATACATAGTCTCGACTTAAAAATCAATTATTCTTAACTTTTTACAAAGGATTATCGTTTTTATTTTATTTGACATGCTTGTCAATGAAATACATTCCGTAGATATCGATATTAACTCAGTCCTTAATAAGAATGTGTGCGAATACAGAAAATGTGATTCTAAAGTTAAGTTGTTGAGTATAGAGTATTTAGAAACTTTCTCGAAAAATTTTATTATCATACATCACTACAGAAAATTTCTTTATATTTTAAATAATTGATACAAATTTAAACTTATGTCAAATATTGAACTGTAAAATCTCTATTTCATAATAATTTCCGAGTTTGAAAAGCAGTGCTCTTCCAAGTAACAAGATACATTAAATGACCAATTACAGCCTGAGATAACCTTGTAATCATTATGTTTTTCAATGTCTTGGTAGTCGTCATTCCGAATGTAGACCGTTGTTGTCTCTAAAATGATCATAATTCATGTTGTGCCAACGTGGTTTGTAATTTTTCTGTCAATATCAAATTGTTCCACTATATTTGTTCGTATAAGAACATTTGATGAAAGACATTTACGAATAAAACTAGATCTACTAGCATTGATGAATTAACAACAAGCTGTGAGAGCAATCCGTGCAGGATTAAAATGTGAAACTTGATGTAATTGCTGTTGCCAATCTCAAAGAGATTGTTTTATTCTATCTATTTTGGGACACATTTCTTCATTAACCTTGTAATCGTTATCCATCTGTCTAATTCTGCTCGTCTCTTATGATCGACACACTTGATTGCTTTTTCTTTTTTTCGCTGTTACTTTTATATATTAAAAAAATAAAACATGTGCATCAAGGGAAGGTAGAACTATTTTTGATGTATCAAAACACCAATAATCATATAAATATTCTTCTCATGCTGATATTCTTGTACTTAAATTTTTCACAAAAATCTTTTTAAAATCTCCTGTGTCTTGTAATCAACATGTAAGAAAAGAATAAACATAAAATTTTTAATCATAGATAATATTGTCATGATATTCAAACTATTTTCATTAGTTAATAAAATATTCAAGAATCAAATAGATTGTCTAAAGTAAAATCTTTTTGTTAGAAATGAAAAATTAAATATATTTAACTTTAGTATATCTGAGTAATCTGTTCATTTTGAGAAAAAAAGCATGATCGAGAATATAGTAACTCATAGTTTGGAACATAATAAATTATGTTTCTGATTTTATTCATAGGAAACTTTTATCACATGCATATAAGTTTCACGACATGGCGAACAAATAATATTCCATACTCATCTAATTATTACTGTAGTGTTTTGGTTTATAAAATTTGTTTTTACGTGCTGTATTTGATTTATTAGGAGTATGTGTATTTATCTTTCCGATCATTTTGTTTTTGTATCACGTTGAAGAAATCAATCATATTGAAATTGAATAAATTACAGTACAAGCATTATACGTAGTCGTTTGACTAAAAAATACGGATTGTATCGTATAAATTGTCATGCATCAGTTAATTGCTAACGATGATTATACACATTTACTTTGTCGTTCTCTTCTTTTTTTTTGATAGGATCGATTTAGCATAAAAAAGAAACGGTGGTATATTTTTATTTTCTGTCCACAGCATTACAAAATATACAAATATTGATTCATTTTGCTCCTAGGTGCTATATTGTATTAGGTGAAATCAGGTTGAGTATTATTAAGTTGAAGTCTTGCATTGATAAATTTTTCCATACGACAGTAAATATGAATTTTTATCAGTTAGTTTCACTGTCTTTGAGTACATAGATATTTCTGTGCAAAAATAGATATATCATTATATAGCTCATTCTTTATTCGCAATTTAGAACATTTAATAATTCAAATTCATTAAGATAGATAATTGTGTTTCTTGAACTGGACGATTAACTCGTTAGGAATAATACAGCTATAGTGTATTCATCATTGAATTTCTAAGCGCATATGTATTTCTTATGATTAGAAGTGTGAGTTGATCAGCTGAGCCATCACTTCAGCTACTAACGCTCAAATGATTAAGCTGTGACACAAATATAGATATTTGTTCTTTAAAAATTTCTGACATTCCAAATTAGTTTTTGGAGATGCTACCATCTGATTTCTTGTCAATAAGTTCTCTACCACCATTTTCTCTTTTTTCATTCGAAAATCTCTCGACATTAAGAAACTTTAAAAAACTCATCGAAAATTTTCAGCCGCGGATCAATGCGTCGGCTTACACCTACGCCTATGGTAGTATGATGAGGGTGCTGTATAGTAGTTGTAAAAGATCCTGCTGCCAAGTAAAAAAATACCTAAAGATTAATCCTTTAGTCTGATAGTTTGATCAGAAATAGAGCATGTTGAACTCGGATCATAAGGACTTGTTCGATCTTCATGCGGAAAAGCTAGAAGATCAACATAAAGCTTTTCTTCAGATGATGATATCTCAATTTAGAAAACAAATCTCATGACGTTAGACCCCTTGTTCGATAGCTCAGTGCTGCCTCTATCACCAGGAAAAACTTCATATTAAATGATTTTAGTTTGCCTAATTTATGAAGTAATCTCTACATGAGAGTTGATGAGAATCATCGAAAATTGACTGATATCTTCGATTAGTTTTAACCATTTGCCTTGAAATATTTTTCAGTCAGTGCTCTAATCTAATCAAGTTTTCTTCGCAAAATTTCACCATCGTAGCCATCGATGCGGAAGAGATCCACGCTGAGACCGTCATAGACGATAGAGGCTTCCCTGCACCTCAAAATTGGAACAGATTGCAGTACCCTATGTTTGACACAATATAGACATGCGAATCTTTATTTGCCAATAAGAAAATGGGGATTAACATATTTAACTAGTGGAAAATCGGCTGTTTTCATCGTAAATCAGTTGTATTAAGGCCTATCGACCGTGGATTGCTGTTTGGGATCAGGATTAATCGAGCTCTATTTCTAGTCAAAATATCAGGCACAATGATAGAAGTTAATGTACTTTTTATCTAGTAGCGAAACTTTCTGCGACTACTGTGAAAAAAAATGATATCATCTCTGGTTTTTGTATTGTTGTCTTCTTGTATCAAGTTCAATTTTTCAAAAAACAATATATTTCAATGAATGAAAATGAAGATGATACTTAATGTAAAAGCTAAAATAAGTATCAACAATTGATTATTTTATAAAGAATTGAACGAAAAAAATTTTTTTTTCGTAAAAAATTAAACTCAATGTGACTTGCGTATGTTATTGATATATATATTTTTTATTAAGATAATCTGATCAAATAACTTAACAATATACTTAAAATATTGTTTAGATAAAAATGGGACGTTGTTGCAAGTGTTGTAAAAGTCTTTGCAAAGACTTTAAAGAGTATGTAAAAACAAAAAATATTTTATTTTGATTATGATTTTTATTGTAATTTTATTTCAATAGATTTGCCATGCGTGGTAGTGTGATTGATATGGCCATTGGCCTTGTTATTGGTAAAGCATTTAGCGATGTTGTTCAATCACTGGTTAATGATATTATTTTACCTCCATTTGGTTTAATTTTTGGTGGTGTTGATTTTAATAATTTAACAATAAAAATGCACAGTTTTGGACATCCAAATCAACCACCAGTTCTACTTCGTTATGGTGCATTTATTCAACATATAATCTATTTAATAATCGTATCATTTGCATTATTCCTCATAATTGTATTGGTTAGCAAGCTACGTAAAAAGGCAACTAAGGAAAAACAAGAAGATCAATATGCTGAGTTGAAAGAATTAAGTGAAGAAGCAAAAGTATTACTAGAAATTCGAGACTTATTGGCAAGTAAAACAGATATTAAATTGTAACTATGACTATATTCATATCTTTCTTATATATACTCCTTTTACAAGAAAAAAATAATAATTAAATAAAATTTCATCTTGAATAGAACTTTTCAACGACTAAGATAAACTGAATCAATAACCAAATGCAATCAATAAGATATGTGCATACAAATATCGATTAGTATATAAATAGAATATTTACAGACATTATATTGCGTGTGATTGAGTTGAATTAACTAACACTTATTTAATATGATTATGCGATCAGTGATTTGATTTTAAAAGAAGAATAAACAACTATAGAGAAGAATGATTTGTTGATGATTACCTTGAAACTTCAAAATAGAAGTCACATTGAAAGAAATCATTCACTTGACTGCTCGAAAAGTTGCAAAATTTGATAGTTATTCAGTATCTTACCGAAACTTCAGAATACAACAGAAAAGACAAGGACAATTCATAACGTTCATGTCAGAGCTTGAAACGGAAAGAAATTTTCGATTTCCATCTTGTCCCGCTTTGAGAGAAAAATTTTCTTCGAACCAAAACCTTGCTCTGATTCAATACTCCGTTACAACTTCTAGTATTGATGAATAATATGTGTAAAGAAGAATAATGATGAGTGGGAAAGAGTCTAGAAATTATAGAAATCACTTGCTCAAATCATTGTCATAAAACGTTTGTAATTCATTGCGGAGATCTAAAATATATTAAATAATCGAGTTTTATCCTCAATTTCAAAAACGTATAAACCTGAGCGACTAATGAAAATGTAAAACATTGAAATACTTAACCGCAATTCGAAAATACTAAATCGTACTTCGAATACATAGGCATGATTTTTTAATATATATATATAACGGTGATCCATAAAGAATGAGATAGACTCAAGTCAATTTCTCCAGATTAAATTCTGTCGGATAGATTCGAAATCCGACTACTCATAGCGTTTTTTGTTAATATCCGCTTACCGGATTGACTGAGTTCCAATTAGATTTATGTTGTCGGAAACGATGAGATCCAACTGATAGAATCTATCATATTCGATGTCAGAAAATCATCGGAATCCACTATATCAAATGAGAACTGAAAGAAGACTCTACAATAAAATTCTTTCTCAAGATCCAAACATTCGAAGCTATGGGATTATATAAGAGTTGAACAATTCCACTTGTTGAATTCGATCATTTCTGATAACGTAGATCCGATTGGAATTATTTATATCGAATTATCGAATACAAATGGGAAAACTTCTAACTATTAATTATGAGGAAGACTCAAAATATGTGTAAAAAAAAAGAATCACCACAATTACCTTGGACATTAAAATTAAAAATATTTCTTTATTTTCATATTTTTATTTTATGTTATCAGAACTTTTGACTAATCCTAAGTAAGTCTGAGGAAAATGGTATAACTTTTAAAGTAAACAAAGAAAATATTTAAGCATCTTCGAAATAAGAACAAACATTGCTAGAGATTTGCCATAAAAGACTCTCTTTCAGAATTTTCGAATTATTATCGACAAAGATTTTCTCTGAAATAGTTCTTTTCGAAAAATCGTTAACAAAAATCAACAGACTGAGAATTTGTAGAGAATTCTATAGCATATTTGGAATTTCTGTCGAGATTCTATTGCAAAAATGGTTTGTCAATTGCGACTTTTAAGCTGTTGCAATTGTAAATACCGGTTTATCTTTTCAGTTTTTTATCATCAAGAAAAACTTATCTGAAAAACAAAATTAAGAGTTTTGCAGAGCGAAAAATTCTCTATGAGCTACAATAAGAATAGAACTTGTGATATGCACTTCTGATTCATAACAAAAAAAACGAAAATTAGTGTCCTATTCTTTATGAACTACCCGTTCGCGTTAAATTATGTGATATTGCTGATCATAAAATCTCGCCATGGTTATAATAATATGAAATATATATATAGGCCCAAAGTGAAAGTATAAACAATATCGATAGGATGTTAGAGTATTGAAAACCATCAAAAATTATGATAAATCAATTCAAGTAAAAAATTATATAAAAATCAGAAATCATTTTATTTGTCTTTGATACTATTTGACACATTCGTCATAAGAATTTATAATGATTATCGTGAATATACATTCTCGATATAGATAGTTTCTTTATAAAATTTTCACATGAAGAGATTTCGGAGATTTAAATTTATTCTACTTGTCATCTAGTGTCCTGCAAGCATATAAATTTTCGCAATTGGACCCAGATCGGTACTCTTTTCTTCTATCTAGACTTGGACCGGAGATAATCGACATTCGGCAGATACTTTCACAGATACAATACACTTTTCAAACTTTTATTTTATATGAAAAAGTATACTATTTAGTTTCTTTCATAAACAGCAACAAAAAAACAGAAAATCATCTCAAATTTCACAAAAAAAGTAGGTGAATAAAGTGATTCAAGATTCACTCGTTGTCTTTCTGCTTCTAAAATTCGGTTAATTTTGCTAAGTATATGTTTGTTTGTTGCTGATGATGTTGGAATGTACCTTTTTGGTAATTCATTTTATCTCCATATATTCAATTACTTCGTCATATGGTTCACCATCATTTGTAGATGAATTTGTTTTTAGTAAAACAAAATCGCTTTTGACTTCTCTAACCTGTTCTCAAGTACAATTAATTACTTAATCATGATCGAACTGGTTTTCATTCTTATGCTTTAATATAAATTAGCAGTTTAAAAAAGTAAAAACATTTTAAAATTTCGAAATCTCATTAATTGCGGAGTCGATCCCAATGGCTCCGGCGAATGTGCACTCGAGTCTATGTTTCGGACCGGGCCGAATGCTGGGTATCCGACCTATTTGCAGGACACTGCTCCCATCATCTTGTCGTAACTTCGTCGCGCTTCATCGTGATCTGTGGTCCATGTCAACTGTAAAATTATAAAAATCTATCAGGAATAATATGAGAAGAGACTAAACATAGGGTTAAATTTTGACACAATAACGAAAACTCTAAAAAAACATTATTGCCTAGAGAAAAGTTATTAGCACAATCCTTGCAAGATTAAAGCGTGAAACAGAATGTAGCTGCTGTTGCGAATCATAGGAAGACTATTTTACTCGATGTATCTTAGAATATGTTTCTTCATCCTTCTTTTACTTAGTTCTCTAGAAATGCATTAAGAAAGTAGCTAATATTTTGTAACGAGGCACTATTGATATAAGGTTTGCAATCGTCTATCACCAACGTCTACATCGTCTGTGATGGTTTCTGAAAGCCACCTATCAAGGTTGGTGGAAAGAGAGAAATGGGAGTGAATGCAAATTTCTACCCTATATACTCCAACATTCCTTTTAGTTTGTGTTTCACAAAAATAACAGCATGCAATCAACGTCGCACTCTGCGGCTACCCATCTCATTCATCAAAGATTGCATAGATTGAAAAATATAGCTTTTCTTCTATTCAAAATACAACACTGCTTCCTATAGAGCTTTATTAATCATTCATTGGCTTATTGCTTTTTCTAAACAATAATATTTATTAAAACTCTCTTTTTAATATCGAAATTTGAGTTTTGTATCTCTACTTTTATGATGTTAGCGTCATTTGTAACAACTTATTCTTAAAATAAATATCGATTTCATAAAAACTAAAGAAAATACAATAAACAGGCTGATTTTGTAACCACTTCTTATTTACAATAAGTTCATCTAACATTCTCTAATCAATGAATTTTTAATAATCCATTAGGAAATTATTTGAGATTCGATATTTTTTCATTTTTATATACTTAAAGATTAGTTATTTCTTAAACTAAGACAAAAATTCTGATTTATTCATCCATCTATTTGATCAAATAAAATTTTCAAAGATTGTTACTTGATCCTTTAATGCATTTATTAAACTTCTCAAACAATAGAGAAACGTAAATGCACTTATTAGTCAAAAAATAAATCAAGTATCTATAATGATTTGCAAAAATATCGAAATTTTTCTTTGTCGATCATGATGCCTACTGTTTAACATGGATTTCTATGACATTATTACTATACCATTCAATACCATCTATGCACACGTATAAAATTACTTTCATTTGTTCGATCATAACTACTATAAGAGTAATGCATATATACATATACGTACAAGAGCAAAAAAAAAACCTCATTTGTTTATGTGCAATATGAAGTTATAACAGCCAAATATTTCTCTCGTCGTGCGTATGGCATCAGAACACGAGAAAAAAAAAGAAATCCGTTCTGTTATTCTTTTCTTTTTCTCCGCTGTCGTTCTACCCGCTGACAAAGAATAATTCACTACTCTAGAAATATGTACATAAACATAATACGTAGGTTACCGCTTATTTTTCGTAAATATTCTTTTCTATGTGTGATTATCGTTTGTTTTTGGTCACTTATTCAATTACGTAAAATACGTTTCGAAAATTATTTATCACAATCAATCCATAATAACAACAATAATGATATTTATTCATATTTCAAATCAAAATCATCTAATTCTTATAATATTTCTACGAATTTACATATTCATGATGTTCTTATTATTGTACGTACTTCTAAAAATACTCAAGTAGTACGAATGCCATCTATTCTACATACATGGTTTAAATTTTCTCCAGACACAACATATATAACTACAAATGGTAATGCAACATTTTTTCATCGTTATATTCCCGAACGATATTATCATCAGATACATTCGACTAATTGTAAACAAGCACATTCTATACGTGATTTATGTTGTCATAGTGCATCAGAATTTTATATTTATTTTAAAAATGAAAATAGATTTAAATGGTTATGTCGATTTGATGATGATCAATATGTAAATGTACCATTACTTATTGATTATTTAAAACAATTTTTTCCTGATAAACAACTTTTATATATTGGTAAACCAAGTTTCAAAGAACCAAAACGTGGACGTGGTATAGAGTTTTGGTTTGCAACTTATGGTGGTGGTGTTTGTTTTTCTAGATCTCTTTTAAAAATGATTCGCAATGATGTTCAACCAAATCATAAATTTATGGAAGGTTGTATATCAACGAATTTTCCTGATGATACACATATAGCTTATATACTCAGGAAAAAATATAATGTTAATTTAACTATTGCAAATGATTTTCATCATCATATTGAACGAAATTTATTTACTAATTTAACAGATCCAACAAATATTGATCAAGCGATTACACTTGGCTTTAAAGGTAGTAATGTACCTCGATTTATACCTTTAATAAAAAATGATGTATATCATATGCAAACATTACATTGTTTATTATATCCAGATGTAAATTGTATGTATTTATTGAGAATTTTATTAAATAAATTATATGAAGAAAAAGCAAGATTAATTTAAACAAAATGTTATTTATTCTTGTTGTATTTTTTTTTCGTGATGACGAGATTCATCATGATAATTTCATATGTTTACTAAAAAACTAAGTAAGCTTTCTTCGATACAAATGGATAAAAGAAAAAAATAAAAAATAAAAAAAATTTTTTATAACGTATTTAATGAATAATAAACAAAAAATTAGGCAAAAGCTAAAAGAAAAAAGGAGTTTTTGATTAATCGTTAACATTTTCCTTTTTTCGTTATTTTCACTAACTATTCGAAGATTGTGAATAACAAGATAAAAGCGCATAGTTTTGTTCAAAAAAGGAAAAACAAAGAAAAAGAGAAAGATCATATGCCTATGAAGTATATTACTCTTGAGAATCACATAGAATATACATCTATTATTAGATTTTGTTTAGAAAATATAATCATTATTGTTTAAATAAAGGAATTAAATGACTAGTGACGTCAAAAAAAAACCAATATTTTCTTTATCCCATTTCTAATGTTGATGTAGTTGGCGTGTTTTGTTGAACAGCAGAATTCGATGTTTGTTGTTGTTGTTGTGAATTAGTTGTAGTTGTTGATGTTGGTGTTGGTGTTTCAAGATTAAGTAATAATTGTGATAACCATTTTTTAGTTGATTGATCTTCTTTAAGTACAGCATCCTATAATAATCGAAAGAATTTCAAATATATTTTTCTTTGTAACAAAAAAAAATCAATTACAAATGTATGATCTTTAAGACAATCAGGAAGACATGATCGAAGAGCTTCCCGAGCACGAGGATTATCCGATAAACGTAAATAACATCGAATAATATGTTTTAATAAACGACCACTTGCTTCTCTTTGCTATCCTCGTAGAAGAAATTATTTTATATAAATTAATTAAAACAAAATGATCGAAACCTGTTGAAGAACCATTCGTCCAAGAACCATAGCAACATGTGAAAAACGATCAAATGTTTCACAAATATAGTTTAAACCTGAATCATCACCGAGAATTTTTTGTAAAATAAATGTTGCAACTGTTTTAGATAATTCACTTCCCGATTGCATTATACGTAATGATAATGGAATAATTTCGGTTGTTAATAAAAAATTAATAACTTCTGTTTCATCAGTTTTAACAAGTGCACCAATAACACCTAATGATGTTAAACGTAAATATTCAAATGGTCTTGTTGATGATTTTGTATTTAAAAATGGATAAAGAAATAATGGAATATTTGCTTGAATAAAAAGTGTTCGTGTTTCAGGATGTGATGCTATACATTGTAATAAAGCTAATGCATTACAAACACGATTTGATTGTTGTGCAGTTAATGTCGGTGGATTAATATATGGATAAACTGAACTAAATGATACAACAAAAAACAAAAACAAAACATCACAAATAATCAATATAGAAGTTTAAATATATATGATTTACATCACTTCATATAGAAGTACAGCAACAGATCCAAATGAATGCCAAAGTAAAACAGCTAGATCAGCAACTTTTTCTCGCTTACGACTTAATTCCATCAAAGCAGCTTCACGTGTTGATGATGAAAGTAATTCAGTTATCCAATTAGCAATACGTTCACGTGATACAGGAGCACTATTAGTATTTGATGTTGATTGACTGGAATTTGTATTAGAATTATTTGATGTTTGACTACTAGTTCCTACTGCTACTGATGAACCATTACTAGCAACATTTGGTAGAGTATTTGGACTAGGTGAAGGAGTTAAGGATGATGACGATGATGATGATGATGTCGTGTTCATTCTTTATGAAAAGAATCTAAAATCATGTAGTATTAAGATTGAATAGAAAATTTATATTTTCTTTTATACCTTTTAGAACTTTATTTGTTACGTATTAACTTTCATAAAAATAAATATCTTGGGTATTTTTCTTTCTATTATTGGCTTTTTTAGTCTAGTCACCTGAATTTTCATTTTATCTTCTTGGAATAATTCTATTGGTTATATCGACAATCCGATTATAATAACTACAAAATGATGTCGCTTATTTATATAAAAAAAAAAGCGATGCAAAAGCATTTTAAGACAAACTTACTTGATTATCTCCAATAATCGAAAACTAAACGAACGTTTTGTATACAGATCTTTACAGATGATTTATGTGACACGACATTTTCGTGATAAGTATAAACAGACAAAATAATTGTGCAAAGAAATATTCTTTTTGTTAGTTATGTTTTTTTGCCATTGTCGTAGCTTATTCAATACAACTGATTACTGGTATGACGTCGAGAAAATTTCTTCATAGTATATTGATATCCATGAGTATGCATTACGAGTATTATTCACTTTTTCCATCACTTGATTCTTAATAAATTAATTGTTTTTGCTTAGTTGAAAAGAGTATTATATTGAGAGAAAAGGAAATTGAACAGTTAATTAATAAAACAAAATTCATCATTGAAAATTGTCAAACTAATAGTAACACTAAAATCTTCAGCTGAATAGAATAGTTTTAGTTGTATTTATGTTAACGAGATCAAGCAAGAATACAGTCTATGCAATCAATGTAGGGAGTTCTCTAATTATGAGACTTCCGGTACAAATAAACAGTATAGAGTGGATTATTTCACGGCACTTTAGAAGTATCTTGATATTTCTTCTTTTCATTTACTCTGAAATTCATATTCATTTATTTCCATATATACGTTTGCACTTAAGAAAAAAAGTAAATGATCACCGACAGAGGAATGGAGATGCTGTCAGGCGATTTCTAAAATTACAAAATAAACATGTCATTCTCTATTTATTTGTAATCTTATTTGTATAGAAAGATTCGAAAACAGTGAAAGAAAAAAACCAATTGTCATTACAATGTTCGTTTATATTGCACCGTAAAACGATATCCTTTACGATCACTTATAACATTTAGAGATTTGTGTATCCATAATTTTTAGTCACGGTCATATCATTGAATCGATGTTAATGCAAGCACCTATTTGAATGTACTGGAACATAGGATCTGTCGTTTTTAGAGCTAGACCCAAAAAACATTTTATGGAAGATGAAGCCGAAATTTTTATATTTATTGTTTTATCGTCAGCAAGTATCAAAGCTTTTTCCAAATATCAACAAATCTAACAAAAAAAAAAATAAAGAACTTACAGAAAATGATGAATATCACGCGCGCATAAGTGAATTTTATATTATTCTGTACAGAAATACTTTGTCGTTTTTTTTTTGTCAATATTAGTGATTCTTAATTGTATGAGAAGAATAAAAAAATATAAACAAAAGGAAATTAAAATGACATCATTCAAGTACTAATGATCAATTACAATTATCGAAAAATGATAATAGTAATTAACAATAAAATTATCATTTTTTATTACAATTTTATTTAGATTGATTCGAACTAAAATTTTAGTCAATAACGATTGCTTGACGATAAGCTAATTTCTAAATGTCATCAATTCATTCATTATCTACTAAACTACCTTCCTTTTCCTCGGTAAAAAACGAAAAACTATTATTTCAATTCTACATTTTTTTTTTGTGAAACACGATCTAAATAGAGTATCGAAGTATATAAGATAGAAATTTACGACTCCCCTACTCCACTCACTGTGACAGATATTGTTGATATACGATCAAAGACTGTATATCAATAACCTCTCGCTCTAATAAATGAACTATTTTCTTATTACATTTCCGAAGGAGTAAGTAAAAGGATAGTGAAGAAATGTACCCCAAGTTAGATGGAATAAAACACTTTCTGTGTGATTAGCAAGGGCAGTTATATCGTGTTTCACATTTTAATCCTACATGGATTGTGCTAATAATTTTCATCATATTTCTCTCGCATTAGCAACAACAAAAACTTCATGATGAAATAAATATTACTTTTACTAATGATACAATAAATAATATGCAAACATATTCATATTTTAATGAAAATATTTCACATAATATCTCATGTAATGAATGTTCACTAAATTCAATCGATTATAATACTCTAAAAAATATTCAATTTAAAGAAGATTTTGAAAAACGTTATCAATTATCATATAAAATAGAATATGAACTTGATTTACATAAATTTGAACTTATTATAACACTTGGACAAGGATCATTTGGTGAGATATCTTTTTATTTGTTAATATTATTTATATTTTCTTTGATCTAGGTCGAGTTTTATTAGTTGTATTTGAACAAAATAAAATTGAATATGCTCTCAAAGTTTTAGATAAATCAAAAATTGTTAAATATAATCAAATAAAACATGTTCAAAATGAAATACGTATTCTTAATGCTATTAGACATCCGAATATTATCATAATGCATTGTTTATTTAAAGATAATTCATATATTTATGTTCTTATGGAATATGTAAATGAAGAAGAAGAATAGAATTATTCTATGTTAAATATTTTAATTTAAGGTTCGTGGTGGTGATTTATTTAGTTATATAAATAAATTAAAGGTATTTCAAGAACATATAACATTATTTTTTGCTGCTCAAATTGTTCTTGTATGAATGAAAATCATATCTAATTTTACAGTTATCACATAGAATTTTTCTAGGTATTTGAATATTTACATTTTTTTAATATCATCTATCGAGATTTAAAACCAGTGAGTTTGATTTATTGTTTACATGCTATATGATACAAAAAAAACATTAGGAAAATATTTTAGTAGATCACCATGGTTATTTAAAGGTAAAATAACTTTATTCTTTAGTCAGGAGTAGTTTTAATATTGATCCATGAAAAATAAAGAAAAGTGATAGAAAAAAAAAAGAAAATCATCGTAGTTTTGATTATAAAAGTAAAGGACTCTCTATAAGAGAAGTGCTCTAAGTGATAAATCACCATTGAGACAACACTATACGCATTTAGTAGAATCAAATAAGCTATGAATATCCTGAAGATAGGAAAGGCACTAAGCTTATTGCTGTTGAGATATAGCATTTATACGGTACTTTTTAAATGAATACCATGATAAGAGAAAAACTAATTTTCGAAGTTCGACTTGAAACTTTTTACAGAAGTAGACGTCAATGAGGATAGTTTATTGTGAAAGTTTCAAGTCTTTTGATTTGCTTGCATCCTGAAATAAGAACATCGGATCTACCGTTATATTGGTCATTTCAAGCAAAACAGGTCATACCTACTTGTGATTTGACTTTAATTCTTTAGAAGAGTAATTTTTCTGAATGTGCTCTTTTTCTATACAATGTTGACTATTAATTAGAAAGTAATTAGCGAATGTCTCTCTAAGCAAATGAGACAAAAAGTCCAAAAACTTCAAGATAGACTCTACGGCATGAACCGCATCTATAGTGAAATTTTCAGTATGATCGGACTTCAAAAGATTTCCCCTTAAAAATTGGTCTTCTAGAGGTCTCATCAAGTTTCGAAGAAAAACGTTTTGCCTTACAATCACGTAGAGACTTCGAAGAAAGACTTGTATCATTTGTAATTGGTTTTGAACTTCTCATTTAGTTATATGAGCATGTTTTCGCACTTCATCACATCACTAACAAATAGTAATTCAATTTTGTCGAAAAATCTAGATATGCACAGAAAAAACTTTCTATAGAGATATTGTAGTCTCAAGAGTTGTATACAGAATGTACTATTTAGTTTTTAAAAATGCAGTCTGAATTCTGGGTTTTTCAAAACTAAAAAGATACACCTGATTTAATTTTGCGAAGTTACGTCTTTAACGAATAATTTTGCCCTTATATGAGCGGTGTAGAAGACACATTTTTGCCATAGCTGTATCTCAAGATGAAAACAACGACAAAATCTGAAATATTCCTAAAAAACTATTCTCATCAAAGTCTGTCTCCTTCAAGCCGAAATTCGACAAGCAGTTTTTCTGAAAAGGATGACGGCATTCATTTTAAAACTAGTATCTCCGTAACAATACACTAAGAGCCCGAACTCTTTTCAGCGTATTAATAGATCATTTTTGGTCTACATAATATACATAGCCTCGACTCAAAAAGTAATATATTTGAATCATGCAGATCTTATAACACAACTTTTTTCTTCGAATTGAGATTTTGTATGAAACAATTTTTTGTCGAAGAAATATTACATCTTCTGCTTTCATCAATTGTATTTATTATTTAGCTTGCTGATTTTGGTTTTGCTAAACAGATTCAACAACGAACATATACACTTTGTGGTACACCGGATTATTTCAGTCCTGAAATTCTTCAATCCAAAGGTTTTCTATAAATCTTATTTTTAAAAAAAAACTATTCTAGAATATTTCAAGGTCATGGTAAACCAACAGATTGGTGGACTTTAGGAGCAAGAATGCCTATATGAATTGTGTAATTTGTAATTAAATAAAAATTCTTTCTTATTATAGGTTTTAATTTATGAAATGAATACGGGTAATCCACCATTTAAAGGCCAATCTGAAGTTCTTCTATTTGAAGCAATTTGTCGAAAAAAACCATTATTACGAACTAATTTTTCATTAAATTTGAAAAAGATTATACTTGATTTACTACAAAAAGATCCAACTAAACGATTAGGTTCAAGTTCAAAAGGATCACTAGAAGTTAAAGAACGTAAATGAAAAATTTTCGAATTAAAAAATTATATTAAATTATTTAATCTATAAACTATTAGATCCATGGTTTTCTAAAATAAATTTTGAAGCAATTTATACACAACAAATACCATCACCATTTTCTAAATATGTCATAACTAAATCATTAATAGATTATCGTCAAGAATCTGTAACACGAAATGAAAAACCATTAGTTATTGCAGAGCATGATGATTATAAAGAATATTTCAAGGATTTTCAGTAAAAAAAAAACATTAACATGACTATTTACAAAAGTTTATCTTGACCTTAACTTTAAGAAAATTTGTACTATGAATAATCTTATAGTTTCTATCCATAGATCACAACATAAAGCAACAAAAATATCACATATAATTATGTTTTGAAATATTCATATTTCATGGGTTTATTAATAGAAATATAATGTTTAATATATTGTACATTTTAGTGTTTACTTGTTTTTTTGATATTTGTTTCGTTCTACTATTTTACCTATATAAAGTGAATCTGACGTATTCGCACGAATGATTAGATGAGCGGAGGTGGTTACTGGTCACAAATAAGTAAATAAAAAAAACAATATGTATATATATATTATATAATTCATCATAAAACTACATAGGAATTAATAATGTTACAATCGAAATTTGAAAAACTACCCGATGAAATTATTCTTGAGATTTGTCATTATTTAAAATCATTTGATATTATCAATAGTTTTTGTCAACTTAATTGGCGTCTTAATCGAACTATTAGTCGATTCCGATTTAATTCAGATATTCATCATTTAACCTTGCATCAATATGAACGATGGTATTCATATTTATTACCTTATACAGCAAAATATATTAGAAATTTAGTTTTAAGTAATTGGAATTCACCAGGTCAAATTCGTCTTTTTAATCAATCGATTAAAAATTATAATTCTCTTTATCAATTATTACCTAATATAAAACAACTTCGATTGATTGATTTTAGTAATGATGATATTCATATTTTACCAAAATTAGCTATGATTGATAAAATACTAATTGATATTGATGCATTGAAACCTCTTCTATATTCAACAAAATGTCTTCTTGATCATTATCTTTTTTGTTCATCATTTACATTTAAAGAAATACGTCTTTGGGTTGGTGAAGGTGGTATTAGATTACAGCATAATGCAAAACTTGTAGTAAATCCATATCTTGAACGATTGACAATCGTTGTAGCACAAATAGATGATCTTATTTTACTCTTTGAACGTGCACCTAATCTTATTAAATTATATGTTGCAATCAGTACATTTTCATCGAACACATCTAGACAATATGTTATGAGTGAAGTAATGCCAAAAAAATTAACAGATTTTCATATTCAAACAAATGATCGACAAGCTCTTACATTTGATGCTTTATTTGTAATTATGATTCATATACCCACTATTAAATTACTTTCAGTTGATATCGAAACAAATGATAGAGATTATGCTGATGGTCTTTGTTGGACATTTTTAATATCTCGTTTACCTAATTTAAAACGTTTATATTTCAAAACTCGTATTTGGATGGGAACAGGAACAACATCTATTGATGTTAATCCATTTATTGAATCATTTGCACGAGCAAAATTACCAATTATTTGTTATGCTGATAAGAGAGTACTTTATATTGATACAGTTCCATATGATATGCATGAATTTAATACAAATATGTGTGTAACAACATCACCGATAGTTAAATATGCTAAAACAACAGATATTAAATTATATCAACGACCAGCTTATGGTGTTCAATCACTTTTATTATCTACACGACATGAAAAAACGTCCATAGACGATTGGTTATACGTTCTTAGTCGTTTTCCATGTATTCAAGCTCTTGATCTTACTGCTATTAATATAATCGATCAAACAAATATAAATCGACCATTATGTTTACCACGTCTTATCGCGTTACGATATGTTCGATCAACAAAATGCAAAATAAATATACCTTTTTTTCTATTACTTGTAATGAATAGTTCAATAACTCCTTGTCTTCGTGCTTTAACTGTCATGTATGGTGATCTTGTTTATCTATGTAAACGTTTACCTGGTTTTATTTTTGATCGATTAAAAGAACTTTGGTTATTCGGTAGTGATACAGATGGTCGTGTGATTATAGAAGATATTTATTTATTACTTAATACATTTCCAAATTTACATCATTTTTCATTATTAATACAATCAAGTAGATCTATTAATAGAAATCTTGAACAAATTATTGAAATGATTGTATCTTCGTTACCAAATTTAATAAGTTTTCGTCTGATTTGTAGAAAAAGTTCATTTAAACTACATTCATTAATTGATAATAATACACGAAATGATTGGATTAAACGAATATTTGGTTTAAATGATAATGAACAAATTCATATAATGATCAATAAAAAAGAAATATCAATTTGGAAATGAAAAAAAAAAATTCTTGTCAATGATCTTTCATTTCTTTTTTTTTTTTTAATTTGAAATTACTTTAAAACATTAAAATAGCAGCAGAAGTTTCATGAGGAATTTTTCTTTTTTATTTGTTCAATTAATGGATATGATTATCTTTCATTTATCAATCTTGTTAAATTCTTTATATTCAAATCATCTATGTCATTTACTTTTTTTTTATCTCTTCTTAATTTATTTTAAGGTTGACCAAGCAAAGTTTAGCATAAAAAGAGAGAGAGAAAAAAGAAGACAAACAATCACGACATTTTTCTTTTTTGGTGACAAGATAAGTCTAGGACTAACAAGACCAATAGGCTATTGTTTAGATGATAATTGTAATGAAATATAAAGGAATTAGGACGGGTGTATAAAACGAAAAAACGCCTAAATGTTCTTGTGTATATATGGGAATTAGATAATTAAACGAATGTTCTAGAAGGCAAATAATAACATAAAAGCCATCATAAGACAAAAAAGACCCATAGCCTCGGATAAGGCAAAACCTAAGATGGCATATGAGAAGAGCTGTTGTTTTAAACTTGGATTTCGTGCATAGGCTACTACAAGTGAACCAAATACTGTTCCAATACCTATTTAAAAAAAAACATAATTCGATGATTTATTTTCCTTTTATTATTATTTTAAAAAAATTAACTGACCAGCACCAGCACCAGCAACACCAACGGTAGCAGCACCAGCTCCAATATATTTAGCAGCCGAATCAATATCACGACGAATAGGTGAAGTGGTAATTGATCGTTGTTGTGCTACAGGTGGAATAATCATTGATGGTAAATATTGTTGAACAAGACCAGCATTACGATTAATTAATAAACGACATAAAGCCGATGATGATGTTAATGAAAAACGTGTAAGTGATGCCATTAATAATTAACTAATGATTCGATTTTATACTCTACGCAAATCTATAAAAAAACAAAGATTTATAAATTGTATTTTCCATTGAGGCAGACGAACTTCTCAATTGTTTTTTTTGTTATTTATTGTTGGTTTTGTTTCTTTCTATCCCTAGAAGAGAATCAACAACCATATTAGATGATAAAATTATTAACCGCTACAACGAACTATTTCATAACAACAATTAGTGAAAAAATAAGATATTATTCAAAATGAAATATATGATGATTAACTTTTTTTAAAATTAATTATGTTTTTTTCATTTACGAGATTAAAAACGAATGCCATAATTAGTTAGAGGGCGCTACTTTCTTGTTTTATATTTTTTCAAGAAAAAACAAAATCACACTCAATGACCATCGAGTTTTATCTTCTGCATATCGAATATCTCGATTTGTTTTTAGTTTTAATACCCAATTTTCTTTGTTATATTATCAGTATCAATAATATATTGGATTCTTTGTTTTGCTATATATTTATCGCATTGTCATTCTTAACACATCAATTAGCATCAAAGCTTTGTGCAATGGGAGGATTAAAATGAAAAAAAAAGCCATATATCAAACGTATATAAGATTGCAAAAAGTACAAATTTAAGCAAATTTTTTTTCATTTTTTTTTATAGATGATTAGATAGAGCTCGACGAGCTGAGTAAGAATATTTATTTTATTTTTTTGGAATCTCTTTTGATAAAAAAGAAAACGAGTTTTTTTTGATAGTTTCGAATGTTCCATTTTCTTACAAATACGTTTTTCATACTAAAAAACTGAGATATATTTTCGATTTAAAAAAATTTCCGTTTCATGTGATTTATAAAACTGATATGTTTGAATGGACCATGAAAAACTCAGTCTGTAAGACTAATTTTAAAATTAGTCTCTTTTAAAGACTAAATTTTTCATCGAGAATCTAAACACATCAATTTTTTTTTAGCATGAAAAACGTGCTTTTAGAAAAAATGGAACATTTAAGACTCTCAAAAAGAACTCGATTTTTTTTTAAATCAAAAGACATTTGAAAAAAATGCTTGAATTTTGTATTTTTCGAATCTTAGAAACTCTGAAACTTTTTAAATACTTTTTACAGATTCGTCATGCTAATTTATTTTATTTTATTCATTACTGCAACTCAGTTGGCATTGGCTAGAGATGCACCGATAGTTCCAATTCAACCATTTACACCAGAACCGATTCATATAACTTTAGATGATCTTCCACCTCCATATAAAACATCATCAGCTGAAAAACCAGCTATTGTTGTAGGAGTACCAAGTAATGCAACATTATTAGTACCTGATGTTAATTTTCGTGTAACAATCTATCGTGATGGTATGCAGGCACCAAGAAAAATGATCTATACTCCAACCGGTGATATTCTGGTTACAGAAATGCATGGTAATCGTATATCAATTTTAACTGGTGATGATACATCTGTTTTTGCTGATGGATCCAATGGAATTTATCAAGCTTTTGGTATGGCATTTGTAAAGGTTAGTTTTGTTAATTTAAATTATCAATTTTTATGCAAAGATTTATCATTCATAGAATTGGTTTTATGCTGCGAATGCTGGCGATCTTCGTCGATATTCTTATCAAATTGGTGATAGAAAATTGAATGGTACTGGACAAATTCTTATGACATATGGAAGTACACATCATTGGACACGTAATTTGATTTTATCACCGAGTGGTGATCGTCTTTTTGTAACTGTTGGTTCTGGTAGTAATGTGGATATTGAATATCCATCACGAGCATCAGTACAAGTAGCTGATTTAGATGGAACACATAATCAAACATTTGCTTGGGGTTTACGTAATCCAGTTGGTATCGATTTTCATCCAAAAACTGGTGATCTTTATGTAGCTGTACAAGAACGAGATGAACTTGGTGATGATCTTGTACCAGATCATTTTACTAGAATTCAAAATGATGAATTTTATGGATGGCCATTTGGTAATTAATTGAAATATGTATATTTATTTAGTTTTGTTAGTTTGAATTTTTTCTTTTTTTAGCTTATCTTTCACCGAAAAATGTTGATCCACGACGTCGTTTTCCAAATGGTTCTAGTGAACGTCCAGATTTAGTTGAACGTACACGTACACCTGATGTTCTTTTTCAAGCACATTCAGCTGTAATGGATATGCACTTTTATCGTGGTAATCAATTTCCAAGTTATTATCAAAATGGTGCATTTGCTGCTTTTCATGGTTCATGGAATCGTGATGCTGGTACTGGTTATAAACTTGGTTTTATTCCATTTAATAATGATAATCGTCCAGAAGGATATTATGAAGAATTTCTTAAAGGATTTCTTATTGATCCACAAGGTCCAACAACATTTGGTCGACCTGTTGGATTATTAGAAATGAAAGATGGAAGTTTATTATTTAGTGAAGATGGAAATGGACGTTTATATCGAATTGAATATGTTAAAGATACTATTGGTCGACAAATAATTAATTCAACATCGTCTCTGATGTCTAGTTCAACAACAATCATTATTAGTATCAGCGTATTCCTATTTTTAATCATTCCTATTTTTCATTAACCTTATGTTCATCATAAAAAAATCGAAATAAAAAATATTATTTGAAATTTTCATATTTCAATTCTAGAACAACATTCTAAAATGACAATAGCATACTGAATAGAGATTTACGAGACTACGAGAAAAAATTATCTGTGATTCTAAGCAAATTAATCATTTCAATCAGAACATAATTCAAGAGAGGTGACAGAAAAAAGTGCTCGTCACCAACTAAATAAATAAAAAACAAAAACAATTACTGAAGAATATTTTTAGATACGATACGAATACATTGTAGTATAGTGTTCTCTAAATCGGTGCCCTAAATATTGCAATTAGCAGAACCGGGACTAAACCAACGTAGTCCGACACATCTTTAATGCTGAATACTTATAATACATTTACCGAAATTTTTTGGTATCCAAAAATCAAAATGGTTGATTCCATTCTTCCAATACTTTTTTGAATTTTTCTTTTCTATTTTTAACCTTTTGCTCCCATAGTGATTCCAGAAGAATCACTGATAAAACAATCATTGAAATAGAATATTGGTATCTCCAATATATTGATAGCGTCAAACAGTTTGATCAATCTAGTAAGCACTGAGAGAGAAACGATTTGATGAAATTTCTATATCTGATTCCTTCCGTAAAACTAATTTAGTTCGACCAAAAAACATAGTAGAGAGTGGTTTGTTCTAACGTTTCGTGCGATCTATGTTCTACTATCTCTTCTCTATCTAGCTTTTATAAATTGTTCGAATAGTATTGATACCAGTAGTAGACATTGCTATCGCTATATATCACAATACATTCCAATCATATACATTTTGTTTGTTAGTGGAAAAACACATGATTTTTGCAATTTTTTTTCAAATTTCTCTGTTTTGTAACTCATCTTTTTCGAATATTGAACAACACAAAACGAAATATTTTTTTAAAATCAATTAATAGTTTATAGAGTTCACTGCAAGACATGTTCTTCAAGTTTTTCAATTCTGTTTCGTTTATTTTCGAGAATCGTTCTGTAAATGGTTATTCGACTGACCAAGATTAAGTAAAAGGTAAACGTTCTGTAATTTGAATTTCTACTAGATCATTTTTGTATGTATCATACCAGAAAAATCTTTTGAATTTAATTATTTACAACTCCATATATGACTACAAAGATGATTTTCCGCTTGTTTGAAGTGAATTACAATAGAACATTGATCATGAGCTATGAAAATTATTCGTCAATTTTGTATAACAGTTATCAGTCAAATCACATGAATGATTCGTCTAATTATCATTTCTTCATTTATTTTTTGATGTTCATTCTCATATCATCAATCAAGAATAAATTAATTGATGACTTGTTTGACATTCTACTATATAATCTCATATGTTCCTATGAATGTATCATAGAAAATATGACTCGAACTATTTCAACTGATGATATGGCCAATGTACGACGTTCTCTTGCACAAGCAGGAATTCATTTTGATAAATTATATATTAGTCAAGTATTGTGATGAATTTTTCATTT